ACTACTACTACTACTACTACTACTACTACTACAGCAACAACCGCAACAACAGCAACAACGGCAACAACAACAACAACAACCTTAACAACAGCAGCAGCAGCAATAACAGCAGCAACAACGACAACGACTACGACTACGACAACGACAACAACAACGACAACGACAACGACAACAACAACGACAACGACAACGACAACGACAACAACAACAACAACAACAACAACAGCAGCAGCAGCAGCAGCAGCAACAGCAGTAGCAGCAGCAACAGCAGCAGCAGCAACAACAACAACAACAACAACAACAATCACTTTACCCGAACGCTCAGTGTTCTCACCAGTGCCAGGGTTTTCATGCGACGCCAGCCAATACCCCCACTTTGTGGGGGGGGCAGTGCAAGCTCTACCAAATATCCACACGACTCTTCGCCACCACCCACACCCAGCTTCCCGCCCTATGACGTTCGGACACTTCACTTCGTGGCCTGCGGACGACCGTGGCTACTACACTGGCGTGGAGTACACACCCACAGAAGTTGTTAAGCCTACGTTCGTACACCCACAGAAGTTGTTAAGCCTTGTTAACCCACAGAAGTTGTTAAGCCTTCCACAGAACATCTGTTGCATATGATGCATATGGTACATGATACACATGATACACATGATACGTACTCACAAGTCCCGCGCGAAGCGAAGAAAAAACGAATGTGTCCCGCATGGTATTATTTGACAGGGATGATGGCCCTGGCAGGTGCGCAACCGTTGTCGCAGAAGTTCGAAAAAGTTGCTCGCAAAAGCCCGTTTGACAGAAATGTTTAAAAAGTGTTGGGTTTCCTACGAATCCGCAAGAGCGCGCGGGATGAGATTTTGACATTTTTTTGTTGAAAAACCATTGGTTTTTTGATGTTTTTATGTTAAAATCGCTGCGAACACTAAGGTTTTGGAAGGATTTCGTCTTGCGCGCGCGAATGTCCACTTTACCTTATTTTTTGCAAGGGATTCTTGAAATTTGATTATATTAGAACAAGAAATGTCATTTTCTATTGTTTTTTGCAAGGGAAAGCGGATTACAACAAAACAACCGGATCCTGTACACACCCTCTTTTCTGAGGCTTCCTCACGAAAATGATGAAAATGTAGCTGCGGCCTAGGCGGCGCAGGGGGGGCGCGCACCAGGGGGCCCAACAATAATTATTCTTTAGAATAGATAATGTTCAACAACAACAACAACAACAACAACAACAACAACAACAACAACAACAACAACAACAACATTGCTAAGACTGCTCGCCCCGATTTGTTCATGTGCCAACCAATACGTATATCCCACCCTCGGTACCCGCCCTCGTCGTCTTCGATCGTACCCTCTTGGGGGCATATGTTCCTTACCTGCCACGTGCACCGAGTGCAGCCCATAAAGCAAGAGAAGAGAAGACGGGCGGAAGGGGGAGGGAGAAGTGGAGCACGAGAGAAAACTAGCAGGAGGAGGGCAAGGAGCAGAAAATTATTGGTAGAACCAGACGGGCACATCGGGTGGGCAGACCCACAGCGGGCAGGTCGGGAAGGCGGGCCCAGGCGATGAGGTCGAGCAGGCGGGTCGCTGAAGCGTGGGCCCTGCATGAATTACGAGGAAGTCTCGAACGATTGCGCGATTCTCAAGTAAATCGTGAAAAAAGAAAAGCCAAAGCGAGAGCGTGATTCCTGAGCGCCGAGGGCGCATCGTCTGAATTAATTGCGAGGAAATCCCACGCGAGAGCGCGATGCGTACATGAATTGTGAGGAAGTCCCGCGCGAGCGCGCAATTTGGGAATAAATCCCACCAGCCCTTTAGGGCGTAGGTGGTTTAGGGTGTTTCCTCTTCCACCCCCTTCTTCCCCTGCGGGGAGGGGTTTACCCTACCCCCTCCCCTGGACCTGGACGGGGCGTTCCGCGGGTCGCTGGAGCGTCCAAACCAGCCTCGGCGAGGAAGCCGAAATCATTGGTTTTACTCCAGTTTGGGCCCCATTCTGGCCTCTTGGGGGGCAGCGGTAATTGAGGGACCCCCCTTCTTTGATCGATCTCCTCCGAGATGGCCCCACGAGCGCTCCCAAGGCTCCCAAGGATATCCCCAGAGGGACCCAAAAGATGACCAGGAGGCCCCAAGAGGCCCCCGAGAGACCCCCAGGATGCCCCCACGAGGCTCCCAAGAGACCCCCAAAAGGCCCCAAGAGGCCCCCCAGGGGCACCGAAGACGCTCCAAGAGGCCCCGGCAAGAATGCCAAAATCATTGATTTTACGAAGGTTTAGGCCACATGTTAGCCTCCTGGGGGGGGAAGCACTGCTTAAGATGATTCCAAGAGCGCGTGGGGGAGCCCAAGATGACCTCCAAGATGGCTCCAGGTATCCTAAGATGCCTCAAGATGGTTCCTACGATGCTCCAAGAGGCCCCAAGACCGCTCCAGGCCCAAGAGTTCCCCCAGGAGGCCCCGAAGAGGCCAAAATCCTTCCAAAACTTTTGGTGGCTT